TCCGTTAGCAGAGGCGATTTCAGTGCTTGTTCTGGAGAGAGATCCAGAAGAAACTCACGGAAACCTGGAATCACTGAGCGGGGGACCCCAAAACCTATCGCCCCAGCGCACATGTTAAAGCGCAGAAACTCTGGATTTACAATCCACGCGTCGCTGCCGATCCACTGAAGGGGAGGCGGCGGCTGTCTTTTCAGCTCCTCTAACAGAAGCTTCATTTCACCTGGTTGAATAAACGCTACTATTACCCGGGCTGTTGATCTGCGGATGACGTTTGCCACTCTCTCCAGTTTACTGCGCGGTTGTGTTCTGTAGTAGGACTCGGAGTACTCCACACAGATGCCCTCCTCCTGCGCGGCCTTTAGAAACGACGCCATTCCATTATTACCATAGTCTGTGTCGCTGCGCACTGCCCCAATCCATGTCCAGCCAAAATACTTGACTAATTTTGCTAGTGCGGCCGCTTGGTGATGGTCACTAGGCACGGTCCTTAGGAAGGCAGGAAACTGACGCTTATCGCTCAGACATGCGCAGGTTGCGGATTGACTCACCTGTTATTTAGTATAGAAAAAAAAGAAAAAAAAAAGAAACGTTATTTGAGACGTCTGATAGAATTCCTTAGTCATTCACAGGACAGTGTATTGTTCCTCATTGTTTACCAAACATTTATACATTTCTGCACCGGTTAGTGTGGTACTAGCCTACAATCACCTGTGGAATTCCAAAGAGACCCAGTATTCTGGCCATGCTGATGGAGGGCGTGGATGAAGACTCTCCCACGAGAGCAGGAACAGCTGCGGCGGCTGCAGATTTTGAACAGGAACCAGTTTCATTGATAAATGGTTCCATGCCGTTAGCAAACTGAAGAGCAACTTTAATTGACTTCGGCACGGCAGTGCACGAGTCGTGTATCTCGTATCCTAACGTGATTCCCGGCAGGAGATCTGTTCTGTTGTTGATCTCATGGATGGCGAACTCCATGGCACGAGCGGTGCTCAGCTCACCGACACTCATACTGCGTAAAAAATAAGATATAAAAATACTCAAAATTAGAATTTCTTTTGTATTTCCTTATACTATCAGACATTGACGCAATTATTAGCAAACGATTGAAAAAGAATGAAAATTTGAATATTATATTTTCTAATGCTCGTTGCAACACGTCACTACACACTCACAGACAGACCTCCCAGAGCACTGTGGCTGGAGTGGCTGTCTGGTGTAGGTGTTCTGCTCTGATCTCATGTAGTAATGAATAGAAAAAAGTCCTCCGATTATAAAATCTCCATTCATATAAAGATCAGGTGTCTGAGGCTCAACCCACAGCCTGCAGCTGACTGGGTCAGCTGGCCAAGCTGCTGGACTGAGCCCGGTTATCCACAGCACTGATACAAACATTGAAATTGAAGTGAGCTGCATGGTATCCTGCCAGTTCTCAGCTCTCTGAAAACAAAGTTGGCTGCCTTTAAATAGACACATCGTCATGATGCGTTGTGGATGTGAGCTCAGACTGAGTAGGCGTGGTTATGACTTGAATACGCAAAACACTGGCGGGTCTCAGTTGTCCGTGTTTTAGACAATGAACACCACTCCCACAGCCAGCTGTATGGTGTCCAGCGCAACTGCTTGACCACTTGTTTTGACCATAAAAATTCACACTAATTTCACTCAAGGGTTAGTGGTAGTAACTGATTTAGGCTGAGAACGATAGAGAATGTTACGTGTAGATTATGGATCGGGCTTAAGTTTACGATTTTGGTACAATAAGATACTTTTAGTAGGCAATTAGTAGAAGGTAAGTTCAGTGCAATATAAAGAGCTTTGAAGCATTTACACTGGGTTATCTCAATAAACAGTTCCATTTGGAGCATGCAGGAGTTTAGTCCATGATTGGCATCTGGAAGCATCTGGAAATAGCACATACTGGTATGTGCCACTCATCAGTGGCACCTGCCACACAGAAACGGTGCATGCCACTCAAAACAGACAGGTCCCAACAGCTTTTGCAAGTAAAGCAGTGACTCTGTGCATCGCCTATTCCAGCCACTGACACGTAGCTTCACTATTGGCTATGAAGACTGCTGTAACAGGTGTTGTGTCAATTGAAATATGTGGTACTAATGCTAAATCCTGATGTTGTCAATATGGAGCCCTGCTGGGGACATCCTGTATAATTAAAATAATGAGTGGCCACAACTTAACACGGTGTGGGAATGAAGCAATTAAGTCGTGGCCCAACTTAGTAAGGCGTGAGGTTGAGATCCTAATGCGTGGCCATGACTTAGTACGGCTTGGGAATGGCATAATTAAGCCTTGACCACAGCTTATAAGGCATGATCTCATTCCCATGCCATAATGCTTCATGACCATGCATCATTTTCATTTATTTGGGATGTCACAAGCAGGGATCCGTATGTCTGTATATCACTTACAGACTGTATGTCATTGTATGTATTGAACACATAGGGAAAGTCTGCTTGTGTTCTTGTTCCCCTTTTGTTGATATCTGTTATTGGTTATTTACTGATCCTTGATTTTAGTAACAGTTTTCAAAAACATTGCTTTGTTAGAACTTTACAAAGATCTAATGATCACAATTTGGGCCAAAGTGATTTGGGAATTCTGCCAAATCCCTCTAAGTAAAAATAACTGACATGTGCTGGTCAGGAGAGGCACTAGCCGTTTACTGAAGTAAGAGCCACTGGCATGTGCCACTCAGGAGTGGCAGATGTCTGCTTATCACATGTGACCAAGTGCCAAGTTGTGAAAATTCTTCCAACATGAGATTGGAAATGCATACATTTTAGTTCAGAGAAATGCAATCATCTACATTTTGATACATGATTTAAAAGCCAATAATGCTAGTTAAATAACATAATTTCAATGCAGAGTGTAGCTGTATGGGTGAAGTTGGTTGGCACATGGATTTTGGAGTTGGTTGGCACATCAGCCTGTAATAGGGTTACAACATATTTATATATAAACATATAAGGTTTCATTTCCTCAACAATATATGCATATAATTAATTGTTATGCTTTAATAAAGACTAATGAAGGGAAGAAAGCGGCACAATTTTATTTTTCTTGCTGTTGTTTTAATTTTTTAATTACTTTGGACTGTTATGACCAAGGATACTAGTGATCTATCACCTGTTATACACCAGCTGTTCCTACAAGGTACTTACAGTAGACCTACAACTTCAGGCCTTTTTGACTTGTGTAATTTGAAATTTTCTCACACACACACACACACACACACACACAAAGCTCCTGTGGTACTATCCAAGCTGCTGTTCTACAGCAGGTGGCAGTAATGCCTTCAGTGAACAATAGCTGACCGAGTTTATACTCTTCATTTAGATACATTGACTATTTGTACTTATTTTATAATTGTTCCTCACAAGTAGCCTTTGTTGGAGTGGAATAAGGATGGAGAGATGGATGAAAGAATAATAATATCTATTACACTCTTTGTAGGCCTCACTTTTAACACTGAAAGTGTTGTTCTAACTAGGTCACCAGTAGGCGTCCAAACTAAAGAGAACATTGCACTTTGTTTTTCAAGAAAGATATGTTTTGGTTGGCTTCAACCTCTTAAATGGCCAAGCATGTCCAAACATCTATTATTTATTTTTTTTTAAATTCAGTATTCAACAAATACTTTTCTTTACAAAATCACATAGTAGTGGGCCGTTTCCTGACCACTTCAGAAGATCATTGCAAAAGTAGCATTCCTCACAATACAGCATGAGCGGAGTGCAGCATCTGGTCTCCGTTTCCACTTGCTAAGAATGTTCCTATCTTGTGCTGTGCTTTGTGTTGACTTGGCTGCCCCTCCCAGCAGTTGTCACTGTTCTCTGTCTCAATGAACCATGTTTGAGGCTCAGCCCACTCCCACCAATACTTGCCCCTACTTTACTGGATGGACTGCTAGCTAGATTTTGTTGTCTCCGGTGGAATGCGTGGTGCATCCGACAGCAATCTAGGCTTCTGCTGAGTTCTGCTGTGTGGGATGGTGATGTCGGGTTTCTTCTTTCGATCCATGTCCTTAGTTCTTTGTTAGTTGAGTCCAGGAACTGCTCAAGTATTATCCAGTCACCAATTTCCTCATTTGTGTGCTGCTTTGGAGTCATCCACTTCTTGTACAAGTCTTTAATCTTGCCTGAAGCTCTTTGGCTGTTTCCCCACTCAGCACTTCTCTGGAGCGAAATCTCAACCTGAATGTTTCTTTGTTGATCTCATATTTGTGCAGGATGGCTTCTTTGACTTCGTCATAATCACAAGACCACTCAACGTCTATTGTGACACAAGCCACTCATGTCTTTCCACTCAGCAGTGGTAGTAAAGGCAGGACCCAATCTTCTCTTGGCTGTATGTACCTGTGCAATTCTCTCAAACATTGTGAGACACTGCATTATGTCATCATCTTCTTGCAAGGGTGACACGTTTGGGCACAGCAGCAACTTTGTGTTAGTTACTGCTGTTTTTAAAGATAATATATAAATGTGGCATTAATGTGTATGTACTTGGTTGCTGTATTTATCTACAGATAATGCAGTCGTTATGTACACCAGTACATACATTTGAATGTAAAGCTGTGGCTATGTTAAATTGTTGCAGTCCTTTCAATTCTGTAAGCCAATTAAATCCATCTGGCAATGTTGTGCTCTCTGACTTGAGTCCTGTTGCAGCCTATAACCAACTTAGTTAATGTGAATGTGCTGTTTTGGTGTATACAGCTTTTCTTCTAATTGTAACAAGGCTAATTCCTATCCACATGTTCTGGACTAAGTTTAATGGGAAAGCTCCAAGTGAATAATGTGTAAATATAATAAGTACTAAGTTTGGGCTAGACAAAAAAATGAGGGTTAGGTTTTCAAATGACCTTAAAAAGATCTAGACAAATGGCTGCATTGTGTATATACGAAGCTAACTTAAAATAAGCACATTTTTAATATAAGGTGGTAAACCTTAGTGCTCCTTCTACAATTGGTGTAGGGGTCTCAAAGAGCCTTGGAGGGAACTTTACCCATAAGGTGTTTCTTGGTATTCTGCTCTGGCCTAAACATGATTATGAAACACTTGGAAGCAAAAAGACAAATAAACAATCCAAAGCTTGAAGCCAGAATAGCAAATATCTCTACAGCTACAGTGAACTTTCCAGGTGAGTTTACATAAGCTGGGATAAAGCTGATCCAAACCGCACAGAATATGAGCATGCTGAATGTGATGAACTTGGCTTCATTGAAATTATCAGGCAGCTTCCGTGCTAGAAAAGCCAAAATAAAACACAAAAGAGCCAGAAATCCTATATAACCCAGCACAGCCCAGAAACCTATAGCTGAACCTAATCCACATTCCAGTATTATCCTTTCCTTGTATTGCTTCAGATTTTTGAAGGGGAGAGGAGGAGATATTGTCAACCAAAGAACACAAATAAGGACCTGTATGAGAGTGAAGGCGAGAACACTGAGTCTCTGCTGTGGAGGCCCAAACCATTTCATGGCATTACTGCCTGGAAGTGTAGCTCTGAAGGCCATTAACACCACTATTGTTTTCCCCAGAACACAGGAGATGCAGAGGACGAAGGTGATCCCAAACGTTGTGTGGCGCAGCATACAGGACCACTCAGAGGGCTGACCAATGAAAGTAAGTGAGCAGAGGAAACACAGAGTCAATGAGAAGAGCAGCAGGAAGCTCAGCTCTGAGTTGTTGGCTCGGACGATGGGAGACATTCTGTGTTTGTAGAAGACAGCAGTCACACATACAGCCACAAAGGCCCCAGTGATGGAGAACACTGTCAGGATGATGCTCAGAGAGTCGTCCCAGGACAGAAACTCCACAGGTTTGGGAAGGCAGCTGTCTCGCTGAGCATTAGGCCAGAACTCAGGAGGGCAGCGCACACAGTTCAAAGAGTCTAAAAGATTAGAAAGACATATTCAGAATCTTATTTTAGTAAGAGCCACAATACAATAAAACAATAAGTATGAGTCTCCCCAGACAAATTGCCCACTGCACTGGTGATATTCAACCTGTCTTGTTACTGATCTCTCCTTCTGCACATGGTATACAGTCATAGCAGCAGACTGGCTTTCCTTTCTGCACAGCCTTCCTGGTCCCTGGAGGACAGCTCTCACTGCACACAGATCTTGGCACCTTCAAGACAACAGACAAAGGCAAATCATTTAAGGTTTGCCAAAAATAAAAATATATAAATAAATACATTTCACAATACTTTGCACAGATATTTAAATACATATGTTATGACATTACTATCATTTGAATTAAAAGTCTTATAATTTGTATTAGCAGAGAGAAATTAGGTTAATCAGGAACTCGTATTATTGAAATGTTTCATCAGATTTCATCAAATATTGCTAAGGAAATTCCAAGTTACATTTGTACATTTGAGCATTAGTTTGGATGTTTATCACAGTTACAGTGTTCTTTGTTACAGTTTATTAGTGCACTCTGTGTTGCTGTTGTAAAGGAAAACAATTGGCTGTGGCATCTACTTGGACAAAAAATGTATATGTATAGAATGAAATAAAATTAAAGATATAATAAATAAATAAATAAATAAATAAATAAATAACGAAAGCGTGATTTGATACCGATCATTATGTACTCTCTTATTTGTTCTATTATCAGTACTCCATAGCTGTTTAATACCAGCGACAATTTAGTGCTGTCATTATCCAAGTGTTTACAGCAAAGCACAGTTAGTGTAACCTAATTGTTTTAATCGTCTGATCATTATTAACATGATCTTCGTTTGTCTGAGTGGGTATATCGTCGCTGCAAAATAACTGAGTTATTCTATGTGTGGTCAGATTGTACTGGAAGTACCTCGGTCTGTCCCCCCATCCAGCTGATAGCTCTGCTCATACTGAACTCTTGGCCTCTTGGTCTGGATGAGTCATAGTGACCCACAGTCACAAAGTCCAGTCCACCATCTCTATTAAACTGCCAGTTTATGAGCTCGTAGACGGCCACAGGATCACCACTGGAATCAAAGGAGACCTGGAAACCATTCTTTGTAGTGAAGTCCACTCTCTTGAGCTGGTCGAGTATCTGCAGTGGAACACATAATTTCATATATGTTCATAACATAGTTTCAAAATATTACTAAAAAGAGTTATAATTTATAATTGATGAATGTTGACATAGCGATTTATTGTGAATGATTATTCGGGCCATTCTACCATTTCGGTGTCTGATGGTGTCTTACAACTGTGAAACTATGAAAATGAGCTGAAAATAAAAATAAAGCACAGAGAAGTGATATATATTAATGGGATGTTTATTTTAGAGACTTTTCATGTTGTGTGTTTGTAAAATTAGCGTGTCATCAGTTGCTTCACTGAAATGTATTGATGAGAAGCGGCAGTTTCGGCGCATATTTTATTATAAACATGCATTGAATAATTCTGTTATAAAATTTTATTTCTTCTTTTTAGTATTATTATTTTTTTGTACATACGATCTAATAAAAAACTTGTCCTGATGAAGTTGTCAGTGTGGAAACAGACATGTAAAATGCCATTTAGAGAAATTCTAATTTTGCTGAAATTTTGCAGTTTTATACCTGCCATGGTGTGAATTTAGCGCTCTTGTCGCACTGCGATTCATTACAGATAACACCGTGGATGGCATGCGCTATGGCATACGTAGCTTTATACACGATGTTTGTGACGCGCAGCTGGGACGTGTCTGTATATGGGTTCTGCAGCGCGCGGACATCCTCGCTGCCGTCACATTTCCGCGCGCCCCCTGAGGAGCCTTTCAGGCTACAGCTGAACGAGCTCTCCCAAAACTCCGTTAGTAGAGGCGATTTCAGTGCTTGTTCTGGAGAGAGATCCAGAAGAAACTCACGAAGACCTGGAATCACTGAGCGGGGGATCCCAAATCCTATCGCCCCAGCGCACATGTTAAAGCGCAGAAAATCTGGATCCATAATCCACGCTTCACTGCCGATCCACTGAAGGGGAGGCGGCGGCTGTCTTGTCAGCTCCTCTAACAGAAACCTCATTTCACCTGGTTGAATAAACGCTACTATAACCCGGGCTGTTGATCTGCGGATGACGTTTGCCACTCTCTCCAGCTTACTGCGCGGTTGTGTTCTGTAGTAGGACTCGGAGTACTCCACACAGATGCCCTCCTCCTGCGCAGCCTTTAGAAACGACGCCATTCCATAATTTCCATAGTCTGTGTCGCTGCGCACTGCCCCAATCCATGTCCAGCCAAAGCGCTTGACTGTTTTTGCTAGGGCAGCCGCTTGGTGATGGTCACTAGGTATGGTCCTGAAGAAGGCAGGAAACTGACGCTTATCGCTCAGACATGCGCAGGTTGCGAAGTGACTCACCTGATATTCAGTATTGAAAGGAAGAAGGACACTTTATGTTTGTTCTTTATTTACTAAACGTTATGACATACATAAAATTGCACCATGTAGTTCATCCTACACTCACCTGTGGAATTCCAAAGAGTCCCAGCATTCTGGCCATGCTTATTGATGGACTGGAATTAGACTCTCCCACGAGAGCAGGAACAGCGGCGGCTGCAGATTTTGAACAGGAATCAGTATGATTGAAAAATGGTTCCATCCCGTTTGCAAACTGAAATGCAACTTTCGTTGCCATCGGCACTGCAGCGCACGCGTCGTGTATCTGGTATCCTAACGTGATTCCCGGCAGGAGATCTGTTTTGTTGTTGATCTCGTGGATGGCGAACTCCATGGCACGGACGATTCGCAGCCACCTGAAATTCAAACTGTTTAGAATAATAAAATATAAAAATAGATGAAGTTAGCGTTTTTTTTTTTCTTTTTTAATATATATATATATATATATATATATATACATATATATATATATATATATATATATATATATATTACCACATATTTTCAAAAATCACTAAATGCTCATGATGGCAAAATATTGTTAGTTTGATTCTTTTGACTGTTGACTGTTCACTTTACACTCACAGACAGACCTCCCAGAGCACTGTGGCTGCAGTGGTTGTCTGGTGTAGCTGTTCTGCTCTGAAGTCGTGTAGAAATGAACGGAAAAAATTCCCCCGATTATAAAATCTCCATTCATTGAAAGTCCAGGCATCTGAGGATCAGCCCACAGCCTGCAGCTGACCGGGTCACTGTTGCTGGCTGCTACACTGAGCCCAATTAACCACAGCCTTAGTACAAACATCATTCAAATTGAAGTGAGCTGCATGGTATACTTGACAGTTCCCAGCCCTCTGTTTGCCACAGTGGCTGCCTTTAAATAGCAACCTTGTCATGATGCTCTGGGGGTATGAGTTTGGACTCAGGAGGTGTGGCTATATCTTGAGTAGTAATTACAAAGATGAACAACATTTTTTTTTTTTTGTTCTCTTATGTATTATCTTGTAATGCAAAACCCAGGTAATCCCTATTTATTCAAATAATGTCTCCTTCGTAACACCCCTTAGATGCGAAACCATCTAACTACTCTTTAAGTAACCTCAATGCACAGTTTAACACAGTCTGAGGAGAACACAGAATTACAGTCTAAATGGATGGAGGACATTGTCCACAGTTTACTGACTGTACACTTCTGGGTTTCACTAAAATTATAAGTAAAACATTTCCCTGTTTCAATATAATAATGCCCCAGTACACAACATTAGATCCATACAGTGATGGTTTGCTGAATTTGCTGTGGAAAAATGTGACTGACCTGCAGATATTTCTGACCCCTTATTCAAACCCCTTATGAACAAATTGTAACACAGGCCTTATCACCTACCCTTCTACCTGCCCAAACTCACTATTACTCTGAGTTAATGCAAATGTCCGAAGCAACTTTCCAAAATCTAATGCAAAGCCTTCCTAGAAGACTGGATCGCTAATGTTGCAAAATGAGAATATAGCACATGGGGAGTTGATGTGGTAATTACATTCCATATTTTAGTACATGTTTCCTGCTTTATAACTGCACAAGTGAAAGTGATATTTGGGTGCATCCAGTGTTTCTCCCCTTTCGTCCGAGACACATGAAGCCACATTTTTTTCAACCCCATTGCACAGTTAAACACACCCTAGGACAGGGGTGCACAACTCCGGTCCTAGAGTGCCGGTGTCCAGCACAGTTTGATGATTTACCTACTAAGAAACTCCTGATTGCATTTATCTGTTAATTGGCAGGTTTAGTTGGTGTGTTTAAGTAGGGAAACCTCCAAACTGTGCTGGACACCGGCCTTCCAGGACAGGTGCACCCCTGCCCTAGGAGAAGGCAGCTGAAATGGCGGCTAAAAGATTCTGCATCACTTCAGTGGCATATCATACAAGTTTATACATATTGTAGCATTTACCACTCTTAAAAGAGACACAGACTGTGCACAAATTATGTGTTTTATTAAAGTTGTTTGCAGCCACAGACCCAGAATAAACATGCAGAACATTATTTGAGCACGCTATACAAAACAAAAGCCCTCGGCCCCTGAGGACCATAAAGTCTTTGAATTGAATGGGCAGCGGCCCTCTTCTCCTGGGATGTGCCAGGATGGGAGACTCCCTTGGCTGGGGAGACATCTGTACTGACTGGTGCAGGTAGGCACCAACTCTGTGGCATCCTCTTCAACAGTCCAGTGGAGACTGACGCGGTAAATGCATTCTGCTTTCTTTGCCATTTTATGTGTCATCAATACTGGCAGGGTCAGCCACTATCACTGTGCAGAGACGAACTGTAGTACTTTCCAGCTTGAACTCAGCAGGTACCAGTCCTGGCCAGTCACTGTAACTGTCGATCACATGTACACCAGAGCAGTTCATAGATCTCCAGTGGCAATGGAAATGAAACCTGATATGTGTTTTCTCTCAACCTCAGTCACTGTTTGGTTGCTGGCTGTGCTGTCAAACCCTAAAAATATCTTCCATCAACGAGGAATCTGTACCAATTACCACTATGAAAGAAGACACTGCTTAGGTGCAAGTTGTGTGCATTATTAAATGATGTTTTAAGCCTCTGTTATGTCATAGAGAAAGGAAGGCTTTAGATTAAAACCTAGCTCAATGTCAGCTCATGTCTGCACTCTCAGGCTTCAATTTCTTGACTGTCAGATTTCTTCAAGTTGTAATGCATAAATGCAGCTAAGTAAGGCTAGCCCCACAATTCAAACAGGATTCATTGTCAGAACAAACCCATATAAATCTCCAACTCAAACAGCACTGGAGGGTCCTAAGTTGATTCTTGGCACGTTGCTGTTACTTAAAAATGAGAATGAATTAGACAAATAGCCAAAACAAAGCTTGAGGCCAGAATAGCGAATAACAATATAGTGACAGTGAACCTCCCATGGGAGCTGACATAAACCTGAATAAAAGTAAGCCTAACTGCACAGAATATGAGCATGCTGAATGTGATGAGGCCAGTTCCAATCCAAAAGTGATGAGCTGCATCAATGTATAGAGGTTTAACTCATTAACAAACTATATTTTTAAATCCACTTGATGCTTAACAGTGTTAGGGTTAATATTAGTACGTAGAGTGAGGGCCAGACTCTATGGTGATGTTAAGTTGAGGGCTGGTGTTAGGACAAAGTAAGGAATTTCAGTAGATATTTAATAGTGTGTAAGCAAAGTGCACAATAGCCCTGTCCATATCCCACTACTACTTTATGCAATCATTGACTGGATTGAGTGAAAAAAAAAATGAACAATTTCAACAATTATAATAAAATACCTGTTATTTAGGCTATAGCTGAACGAGCTCTCACACAATTCTTGGCAGAGGCCATTTCAGTGCTTGTTCTGGAGAGAGGTCCAGAAGAAACTCACGAAGACCTGGAATCACTGAGTGGGGGACCCAAAACCTTTCGCCCCAGCACACATGTTAAAGCGCAGAATATCTGGCTGTATGATCTACGTTTCGCTGCCGTTCCACTGTGGTGAATGACTGCATTTCTATACATTTTTTGTAACTGCTCCTAATGCAGCATCATTGGACATTTTAACACAGCTGGAGGAGAAAACTAACTGCCAATTCTGTTAGCTCAGATGCTCTCCGTGGTGACGAAGAGGGAACTGATTCCATGTTCCCTGTGGATGTCGGATAAAATATTCAATTGTCATATGTATGTGTGATTTTCGAGTGTCCCAAAATTATGTTTTTCTACCCAGTTTAGTCGAGGCCAATTCCCATCCATCAGTATAGGCTCATTTTATTTAGAAAGTCCCCAATAGACCATTTATAGATATTTACCTCATTAAGAAGTAATCTTTTGAAAATCAGCTGATTCTCAACAATGTGAGCACTAGTTCAAGTACCAGTTTTAGGCTTAAGACCAGAGTGGGGACTGAGGCGAGGTTTTTGGCTCAGGTTAAGTTTAGGTCAAGGTAAGTAAATTAAATAGGTAAGTAGTAGAATGTAACGCTAATGCAAAATAAGCACAACGTTAGGTTTATAAAGGACGTTTGCTGAATTTAGAGGAATAATTTTACTGATAAGCATATAGCTCTGACTTCAACCACATCAAACACCATCTGGAATACATTAGAACACCAGGCCAAACCTTATGACCCAACATGTGCCCAACCTCATTAATACTCTTGTGGCTGAACAAAAGCAAATGCCCACAGAAATGTTCCAAAATGTTGTGGAAAGTCATCCAAGAAGATAAGATGGCTTTCAAAGCACAAATGAGGGGGCAATTCCGTATTAATGCCAGGGGAAAGAAATGTTGAAACATCACATTAATTCTAACTCCCACTTACACAACATCACTGGATAGTTAATTGCACTAAAGTCGAAGACAAACCAATTCCTTGCCTCTGTTTAGGATGAGTAATGGGGACAGAAAGATGCCCAATCTACCCACCATGTCTCAGCAATGGAGAGGCCTGCCATTACTCGATTAAGGTTAATATTGCATGGCATAATAAATAAAATATATAAAAGTGATCATAAGGATTCCATTTGATAAAGAAGTATAATCAAAACCTGATGAAAGACAGAACAATTCAGGTTCATTTGGAATCAAAAATGAGTATGTATTATTATTTAAGTAGCACATGTAAAAATCTTGCTTGTACATACTTAGACATTACAACATAAAATATAATATAACTAAAAAGGTGTTATATTGAAGCTGCTATTCACAAATAAACCTCACCATGGACCAGTATGTTTAAAAAAAAATGCTAAATCATATTGTGATATGTAAAATTTGTGCAAAAGTCTCAAAACGTTTTGGAGGGAACTTTACCCATAAGGTGTTTCTTGGTATTCTGTTCTGGCCTAAACATGATAATGAAACACTTGGAAGCAAAAATACAAAGAATCAAACCAAAGCTTGAGGCCAGAATAGCAAATATCTCTACAGCTACAGTGAACTTTCCAGGTGAGTTTACATAAGCTGGAATAAAACTGATCCAAACTGCACAGAATATGAGCATGCTGAATGTGATGAACTTGGCTTCATTAAAGTTATCAGGCAGCTTCCGTGCTAGAAAAGCCAAAATAAAACACAAAAGAGCCAGAAATCCTATATAACCCAGCACAGCCCAGAAACCTATAGCTGAACCTAATCCACATTCCAGTAATATCCTTTCCTTGTATTGCTTCAGATTTTTGAAGGGGAGAGGAGGAGATATTGTCAACCAAAGAACACAAATAAGGACCTGTATGAGAGTGAAGGTGAGAACACTGAGTCTCTGCTGTGGAGGCCCAAACCATTTCATGACATTACTGCCTGGAAGTGTAGCTCTGAAGGCCATTAACACCACTATTGTTTTCCCCAGAACACAGGAGATGCAGAGGACGAAGGTGATCCCAAACGCTGTGTGACGCAGCATACAGGACCACTCAGAGGGCCGACCAATAAAAGTCAGTGAGCAGAGGAAACACAGAGTCAGTGAGAAGAGCAGCAGGAAGCTCAGCTCTGAGCTGTTGGCTCGGACGATTGGAGAAGTTCTGTGTTTGTAGAAGACAGCAGCCACACACAAAGCTATGAAGGCCCCAGTGATGGAGAACACTGTCAGAATGATGCTCAGAGTGTCATCCTAGGACAGAAACTCCACAGGCTTGGGAAGACAGCTGTCTTGCTGGGTGTTGGGCCAGAACTCAGAGGGGCAGCGACCACAGTTCAAAGAGTCTTAAACATTAGAAAAAACATATTTAGAACCGTACATTAAAAAGAACAGCAAGGGATTGAGAAAAATAATAATAAATTAGGGCTGTCCCCAGCACTGTGTGTGATACACAACCTGTCTTGTTACTGATCTCTCCTTCTGCACATGGTACACAGTCATAGTAGCAGACTGGCTTTCCTTTCTGCACAGCCTTCCTGGTTCCTGGAGGACAGCTCTCACTGCACACAGATCTTGGCACCTGAAACACATTAGACAAATGCAAATCATTCAAAGTTTGTCAAAAAAAGTCTCATATGCACAATTCTTTGTATAATTTTCAACAATTATAGTCAATTTTTTATTATTATTATTATTTTTTTTTTCATTTATTTTTGAGTTGGTATTTCTATTTTGTTGATTATATAAAATTACAAAGTCTTGCATTAAAACAGTCCTGGAAGTGTTACGAAAAAAAACAAAAAAAACAAAACAAAAAAAACCATTTTAGATTTATTTACTCTTGAATGATATTTGATCGCATTTAGCGTGAGATTTCATTATTATTAGGCAGACATTATTTAGGCGGTTTGCTGGTTTCTGTTAAACATTTCTTATTGTTGAATTTTTTCATTAGTTATAATCAAATTTTATCACATTAAGCATATTCCAAGTTCTCTTTGTGGTACTTTTTAGTTTTGGGTGTTTATTACAGGTAATTGATATAAAACATATTACGGTGCTGTTTGCTCCAGTTTATTAGTAAAGCATGTTTTACTGTTGTATAGGTAAACAGTTGGCTGTGGCATGTATTTGGACAGAAATAATAAGAGAGAACAGGGAGTACCTCAGTCTGTCCCCCCACCCAGATGATAGCTCTGCTTATACTGAACTCCTGGCCTCTTGGTCTGGATGAGTCATAGTGGCCCACAGTCACAAAATCCAAACCTCCGTCTTTATTAAACTGCCAGTTTATGAGCTCGTAGACGGCCACAGGATCACCATTGGAATCAAAGGAGACCTGAAAAACATTGTTTTTGGTGAAGTACACTCTCTTCAGTTGGTCGAGTATCTGCAGTGGAACACATAATTTTTAAATTGATTAGACAAAATGTGATTTGAAACCTTGAACTAAACTTTTTAAATACATTACTTAAAAAAAAAAAATAATATGAATAATTTATTATTGATGAATTTACATAGAGACTCATGGTGAACGAATATTTGGGCCATTCTACCATTGCAGTGACTAATAGTGTCTCACAGCTGTGAAATTTTGAAAATGAACTAAAAAAAATCAGAAAATTATACATCAATGGGTTGTTCAGTTTAGTGACCTTGTTTCTCATGTTGAGCATTACTGAAATTAACATGTCAAACAGGGGCTTCACAGTTACTGCAAACATATTGTTTATAAGAAGCGGCAAATCCGACGCTTGTTTTTCAGTTGAAATTATAAACACGCATTGAATTATTTTATTCTAATCTATCATAGCTTTGTGTTGTTTGTAAAAATGTAAAATTATTTCTGATAATGACGCTTATCCCAACATATTTGTCAGTCGTGATGAAAATACATGAAATGTCATTTAGGAAACAAACAAGATAGTAGTTTTAAATGATTTGTCGTAGGAATATATATATATATATATATATATATATATATATATATATATATATATATATATATATATACACATTTCTGAGAAAATGTGTTTTTATTCATCTTATGTTGCTCAACCTCTGATATCGAACTGGTAGAAATGTCCAAGTAGCTTACTTAATATTTATTTATCAAAATGTGATGGTAAAAATAAAGTCGTACATATTGAAACTAAAAGGCAACCTAAGGAGCTGTTTATAAATGTAGCAGTTTTATACCTGCCATGGCGCAAATTTTGCCCTTTGGTCGCACTGAGTGTCGTTACAGATAACACCGTGGATGGCATGCGCTATGGCATACGTAGCTTTGTACACCAGGTTAGACTCGCGCAGCTGCGACGTGTCTGTATATGGATTCTGCAGCGCGGGGATATCCTCGCTGCCGTCACATTTCCGCGCGCCTTCTGAGGAGCCTTTTAGGCTACAGCTGAACGAGCTCTCCCAAAACTCCGTCAGCAGAGGTGATTCCAGTGCTTGTGCTGGAGAGAGATCCAGAAGAAACTCACGAAAACCTGCAATCACTGAGCGGGGGACCCCGAAACCTATCGCCCCAGCGCACATGTTAAAGCGCAGAACATCTGGATCCATGATCCACGCTTCACTTCCGATCCACTGAAGGGGAGGCGGCGGCTGTCTTACCAGTTCTCTCATCAGTAACCTCATTTCGCCAGATTGAAGAAACGCTACTATTACCCGGGCTGTTGATCTGCGGATGACGTTTGCCACTCTCTCCAGTTTACTGTGCGGTTGTGTTCTGTAGTAGGACTCGGAGTACTCCACACAGATGCCCTCCTCTTGCGCAGCCTTTAGAAACGACGCCATTCCATAATTTCTGTAGTCTATATCGCTTAACCTAGCACAGCCCACATAGCTGAACCTATTCCACATTCCAAGATTACTCTTTTTTAATATTTCTTAAGACTTTGAAATAGAAAAGGGGGTGATATTGTCAATCAAAGAACACAAATAATGACCTGTATGAGAGTGAAGGTGAGAACACTGAATCTCTGCTGTGGAGGCCCAAACCATTTCACAGCAGTACTACCTGGAAGTGTAGCTCTGAAGGTCATTATGAGCACTATTGTTGTCCCAAGAAAACGGGATATGGAGAGGATGAAGGTGAACTTTTAGTTGTTGGTGAATGATGGGAGAAGTTCTGTGTTTGTAGAAAACGGCAGCCACACATACAGCTATAAAGGCCCCAGTGATGGAGAACACTGTCAATGTATGTGTGTGTGTGTGTGTGTGTGTGTGTGTGTGTGTGTGTGTATTCAACAGTTCTTTTTTTTATAATATATAGCACATATGGATGTGGTCTTTGCTTTTCATGCTAGTTTGCTGGAGGCCAGTTCCCATCCACAAGTAATTAACTTAATTTATTTGTAAAGTCCCCAATACGTAATGTATACAGGTTCATTAACATTTTATTCAGTTGATTCTCAACAGTGTTAGGGTTAATATTAGTAAGAAGAGTGAGGGTGAGGCTTTCTGTTAAGGTAAGCTTAGGGCTGGTGTTAGGACAAACATAGGAAATTTTAATAGATATTAAATAGAATGCATGTGAAATGTACAGTAACTCTCTAAGTATTTACAGTGTTTTATTTAAATAATGTTACCCAAATACTACTACACCTTTGTGCAATCATTAAGTAGATTGAGTGAAAATGTATTTATAATAAAATACGTTTTTTTCCTATTTATTTATTTATTTATTTATTTTACTAAGATTGTAAAATTTGTATATTTTGATTTTATCTACATTTTATCTTCATGCAAAATTTTTGGTTTGGATGTATTTTAACCCTTGGAAACCTAAAATTATGAGCAAAAATAAACAATTAGCAGAAGGCAGACATGTTTTTATTGATTTTCTGTCCTCTTGGATTTGTGCTAAGTGTACAAGTACCAGTTTTAGGCTTGAGTTCACAGTGGAGACCAAGGTAAGGTTTATGGCTCAGATTAAGGTTAGGTCAAGGTTGGTAAATTAAATGGGTAAGTAGTGGAAAATAATGCTAATTCAAAATAAGCACAACATTAAGGAACGGTTTGCTGAATTTAGTGGAAAAAAAGTATTGATAAGCATATAGCTGTGACTGCAACCACATCAAACATCTGTGGAATAAGCTGGAACACCAAGCCTAAACTTATGACCCAAAATGTGCCCAGAGCACAAAAATGTAGTGGAAAGATGACTTTCAAAGCAGAAGTGAGGGAGCAATTCCTTATTAATGCCAGGGGTTTTGTAAAGAGATGTTGAAACAGCATATAGGAATGTAATGTTTGGGCGTACCTAGAATTTCTATTCCCTTGTCCAAGACACCTAAAACCATGACAATTCTAACTGCCACAAACACAACATCACTAGGTAGTTATATACACTAAAGTAAAAAACAAACAAACAAAAAAAAAAAACAATTCTTTTACCTCAGTTTAAAGATGGCACACATAATAGTATCAAGCTATTGTATTCCATGGCATAATAAATATTATCTAAAAAATTATCCTAAGGATTCATTTTTGATAAAGAAGGGTAATCAAAACCTGATGAAAGACAAGAGAATTCAGGTCAATTTGACATCAAATATTATTATCTATTATTATTTAAATAGTCTATGTAAAAATCTTAATTGTACATATTTAAATGCTACAGAGCTGTCGTAGTGAAGCTAATATGCACAAATAAACCTTACCATAAATCAGCGCATTTAAAAAACAGCCAAAAATTTGTGCTGGAGTCTCAAAGAGCCTTGGAGGGTACTTTACCCATAAGATGTTTCTTGGTATTCTGCTCAGGCCTAAACATAATAATGAAACACTTGGGAGCAAACAGACAAATAAACAAGCCAAAGCTTGAGGCCAGAATAGCAAATATCTCTACAGCTACAGTGAACTTTCCAGGAGAGCTGACATAAGCTGGGATAAAGGTAACCCAGACTGCACAGAATATGAGCATGCTGAATGTGATGAACTTGGCTTCATTAAAGTTATCAGGCAGCTTCCGTGCTAGAAAAGCCAAAATAAAACACAAAAGAGCCAGAAATCCTATATAACCCAGCACAGCCCAGAATCCTATAGCTGAACCTAATCCACATTCCAGTATTATCCTTTCCTTGTATTGCTTTAGATTTTTGAAGGGGAGAGGAGGAGATATTGTCAACCAAAGAACACAAATTAGGACCTGTATGAGAGTGAAGGCAAGAACACTGAGTCTTTGCTGTGGAGGCCCAAACCATTTCATGGCATTACTGCCTGGAAGTGTAGCTCTGAAGGCCATTAACACCACTATTGTTTTCCCCAGAACACAGGAGATGCAGAGGACAAAGGTGATCCCAAATGCTGTGTGGCGCAGCATACAGGACCACTCAGAGGGCTGACCAATGAAAGTCAGTGAGCAGAGGAAACACAGAGTCAGTGAGAAGAGCAACAGGAAGCTCAGCTCTGAGTTGTTGGCTCGGACGATGGGAGAAGTTCTGTGTTTATAGAAGACAGCAGCCACACATACAGCTATGAAGGCCCCAGAGATGGAGAATGCTGTCAGGATGATGCTCAGAGTGTCAACCCAGGATAGGAACTCCACAGGTTTGGGGAGGCAGCTGTCTCGCTGGGTATTGGGCCAGAACTCAGGAGGGCAGCGCAAACAGTTCAAAGAGTCTAAAATATTAGAAAAGCATATTCAGAACCTTATATTAGAAAGACCCACAATAGAAAAAAAAAAAGTTATGAGTATCGCCAGACAAACTGACTGGTGATACACAACCTGTCTTATTACTGATCTCTCCTTCTGCACATGGTATACAGTCAAAGCAGCAGACTGGCTTTCCTTTCTGCACAGCCTTCCTGGTTCCTGGAGGACAGCTCTCACTGCACACAGATCTTGGCACCTGAAAGACATTAAACAAAGTTAAATTATTCAGTCAAAATTTGAACCTCAATGTTGAAATTCCTTATATATATATCCATTATCCATTTTTATTAGTTGTTTTTTGCTTATGTCCTCTGTTTGTTTATTGATTATATGATATTACTAGCATTTGAATTAAAAATGTCGTTCTTGAAGCTTTAAGTAAAATAATCCATCATATATTTATTTTCTCATGAATGATACGTGAATGGATTTAGAAGCTGATTCCACATTAGTAGACAGAAAGTATTGTAAACAGCAGATTTTATTATTGGAATGATTCATTAGATTTCATCAAACATTGTTACGGAATTTCAAAGTCATCTTTGTGCCAATATTTAGGTTTGGATGTTTATCACAGTGAATAATTTTAATAAATTTACGTAAGGTAAACAATTGGCTGTGGGATCTACTCTGACTGGAAAAACAAGAAAAAAAAATGTGATTCCGATTATTATGTAGTCTTTTATTTGTTCTTTAAACAGACCTTCTGAATTGTTTAATGTCCGTGTTCATTTAGGCCGTAATTAGCCAAGTGTTTACAGTAAAGCACAGTTAGTTTAACCTAATTATTTTCATTGTGTGATCATTTTAACATGATCTTCGTTTGTCTGAGTGGTATATCGTCGCTGCAAAATAACTGAGTTATTCTATGACGTGTGTGGTAAGAGAGTACTGGAAATACCTCAGTCTGTCCTCCCATCCAGCTGATAGCTCTGCTCATACTGAACTCCTGGCCTCTTGGTCTGGATGAGTCATAGTGACCTACAGTCACAAAATCCAAACCACCATCTTTCTTAAACTGCCAGTTTATGAGCTCGTAGGCGGCCACAGGATCACCATTGGAATCAAACGAGACCTGATAGCCATTCTTTGTAGTGAAGTTCACTCTCTTGAGCTGGTCGAGTATCTGCAGTGGAACATACAACTATAAAAACTATGAATGAACCTGTGATTTTGAACGGAGATCAAGTGTTTCAAAGTACTATTAAACAGACTAATTTGTTATTAATGTATATTGACCTGGGAATTATCTGTGAATGACTATTTGGGCCGTTCTACCATTGCCGTGACACATGGTGTCTCACAACTGTGAAACTATGAAAATGAGCTAAAAATACACACACACCAAAATGCAGTGTGTTATGTCTCAATAAAAATCAGCATTTCACAGCAGCATAAATATATATGATCTATGTGAAGCTGCAAGTCCGCTGTTTATTTTTCAGTTTTATTCCATTTTTTCATTTTTTTTCTTCTTCTTCTGATGATGATGATGATGATGATGATGATGATTATTATTATTATTATTATTATTATTATTATTATTTTTATTATTCCTTTTTATATTTTTTTTTCTCATAATACATCTTGTCCTGACAGATTTGTCAGTGGTGAAACAGACACATGAAATGTCAAAAAAGGAAAAACAGAATCTTTTTAAATAACTAACTAATTAAAGAAAAATCTGTGTTCATATTTTTAATTTTGCTGAAACACTGAAACTGAATTGGTAGAATTGTCCAGGTAGCTTACTTAATATACATGTAGCAATATACAAGCCCATTTCCAAAAAAGTTGTGAGCTTTGCCAAATGATGCAATGATGTGCAAATCATTTAAACCCTATGTTTCAATGAAAATACTACAAAGACAACATGTCAATCATTGAAAAAGAGAAATCGTACTGGTATTTGAAAAACCTAAGCCTATTTTGAATTTGATGCAGACAACATGTTCCAAAATGAGACACAGGCAAAAAAAGGCTGGTAAATTTGTCTAATGCTAAAAACAAAAAACTAAACAAAAACAAAAAAAAAGAACACCCGGTGGTTGTCAACAAGTCATCACTTAGAGGCTGAGTCTTGAGTAAAGATGACGAGGGGTTCACAACTTTGTGAAAGACTGCACGATCGAATAAT